CAGTGTTCCAAAATGTCTCTATTTCAATCGTTTTTGCATTCAAAATATTTTCTCCACGCAATGACGAGCGTTTTTTTTTCTTTTTGATTTTTTTCCTCCTGAATTGATAAAAAGCAAACAATTTACCAATGAAGTACTTGCTGTGAATTACTGCTGAATTGTGTTGATTATAGAATGATGTGAAAACAAAGTAATCAGCATAGTTCATCCTAAAACAGAGTGAGAACACTAGAAATATTTTTACTTGAAATCAAAGCATGGAATAGATGAATATTTTTGTTAGAAATGTGCCGATTCAGTATGAACATTTGAGGAAATACATGGTTGTGATAAAAACCGGAAGTAGCTTGGACAAGGAAAAACATTCTTCTTCAATTTAAGAAGAAGCATGAAAAAGTCCTTTTGCTATAGACAAAAATTTACATTTCTTAAATTCAGATGAATGGAATCCCTACAGATATTTGCCATCTTTTAAGACTCCTGCAGGGCACTTAGATAGGCCTCCTTTCCATTCTTTTGTTTTAAAATGTTTTCAATTCACTTCCGGATTATGTAAAAATCGTGCAATAATTATACGCTCTTCGACATTTAGGTTGATTTAACACGCACAGACGAATAGAAGTAAATATAAAATTCTTTTGTTTCTCCTGAGTCTCGTACTAAAATCTTTTGTGCATGAACATTAAAACAAAATTCCTATTCCTTTGTTTTCATTTGTGTCTTGTGCCTATCTGAATGATAGACAATTGTATAAATTCACTTTATTCAGCAGACAGTGTTACGACAACTTTAAAACAATAGAAAATCCTCATTTCTAATTCCGTAGTTGTCTAAAATGTCGACAATCTTTGAATCGAGATGATGTGTGGGTGGGTGGGGAAGGGGACACGGTGTTTTGTTGAATTCCAAGTCAATTTGAACAGAACTAGCTTTAACTAACCTCATAGGTATTAGCAATTAATAATCTATTGTTTGCTTGACGCATTTAAACGTATGCAAACAATAACACGTGCTCGAGCTGTATTGTGTTTTATTCTTTAATTAAAGAATCCCAAATTGTCAGATTGCACACGTTGATAATCACTGTGATAATCGTAAATGCATTAGAATAAATAAAGTCTTTTTTTTATTTTGAGAGGGTAGCACGTAACAGTCTCTAGATTAATAAACTTGTGGCCCTCTATATATTCACTCACACTCACTACCTCAACATTCATTATTTTACCACACGACACTCCTCACAGCTACTTTTTGACTGAGGGAGGAAAAGCAGCGGACCTGGAGAAAAACCCTCGGAGCAAGGAAGAGAACCAGCCTACGAACTCAAATCACATATTGTCCCGGACCGGGAATCGAACCAGGACCACAGCGGTGATAGACCGGCGTTTTAACCGCTCGGCCTTCCTTGCTCCCCTATGCACCACAATGTCTAATTTTAGCACCACTCAAATGTTAAATTCCCCGATATTCTCCGGGGGTCGGGGAGCGGGGTTTTCAATTGACTAGTGCATTGGGCGCTAATTAGTTAAGAATTGTTTCACACTTATGTGGATTGCACTTAAGTCTTAGCTTTAGGTATAATATGGCCTAAAGGGTGCTTGTTCTTAAATTTACATTAAATACGTAGAATACGATTGCATGCTTGCTGGTCACACCGTTTTATACCCGGCTACATGTAACTCTATGTGCAACTGTCTTGGATGTGGTCGACGTTGATAACACCCCAAATCGCAGAGGATTTGTCAACAATTCGAACCTGAGCTACCTGGCCTCTKAGATACGACGTATCGATMTCTTGTTGCTTCATGGTCTCAACGTTCTGTGAACTCACTGCCTTGGCAACCAGCACTCCACCAACCAGCAGCTCTAGGCGCACGACATTCATGTCAGAACCTCCACCAATCAGAAACGTCAGCTTAGCTCCTTGGATTAGAAATGGTGGTGAAGTTGCGGTGCCTTGAGGAACATCACCTTGAGCACTTGGTGGATGAGATGGACTGGTTCTGTTTTCAAATGTTGCTATGTACCAGTTCCCTTTTACATTCGATGAACCCCATCCACGAGCTAGGGAGTTATCCCCATATGTTGGCTGATTGTTGAATGCTGTTCCCGTCAGGGTCCATCCGTCAAGTCGTCCGGATTCAAAGTCAAACAAAACGCATTCTATAATGAAAACCGTTGAATATATAAATAAACTTTATAATAATGAAACTTCATGCACAGATTGAATGATTTCGCGATACAGGAGTTTGCATTTYGGCCCAACCAATTTTTGCCGGTTTCACAATGGCGATTTCTGCAACAATTTTTGTCGTTATTTTGATCTTAGAGAATTATCATTCTTTTCATGAGCGAAATAATGATAACAATTTTAATGAATTGACATGCAAAGATTTATCAAATACACTGAGATGACCTAACCAAAATTCTCCTCACAATTTATTTGACAAAAGCTAACATATTTTTGAGAATCGCAACAAAAATCGCCAGCGTGAACCTGTCTTAAATAACGYATTTTCTTACTTTTATGCTCACAATGACGTCCATGGAAAGTAGCGAGAGTACAAGTGCAGGTGTAGTTAGTCCCTCCATCTTTTGCGGTGCATTGTCCGCCATTTTGACAAGGGTTTGGTGAACACGCAGTCTGAAACGAAGAAAAGAATTGGGTTTTCAAAAAGCTAGCATTTTTGACTTCTGATTGATCATAATCCAATTTCCTAATTGTTGAAATTTATGCTCACTTTATTGTATCGTAAATCGTTGATCATTATTGTCTTACGTAGTTTATTGTGAAACTGACATATTTCTTTGTGGTAACAGGATGCAAACKATAAAAGGGTGTGTGAGCCACTAATCAAATAGACTGAAGTCAATAAACTAGACAAAATTTCCTTTTAAACTTGTGATAGTCAAATACTAGGCACAAAATAAACCAATGCAATTTGAGCTTATTGAAGTTTKTTAGTGTAATATCTATCTATGCAGGTCAGAGAGAGATGTTTGAAAATTTAGCAGTTTGGTATCAATCCTAAAACGTCTTTAAACAATTATTCCTTAATTTGCAACTAGATCACAATTAATGATGATTTTATATAGTACTCATTGTCTATCACTTCAAATCAGTGGACGGACAAAACTAGTATCTCTTACCTTCACTTGAATAAACTTTGAGTTGGGTTTTGGTACGAGATATTTCTCAAATCCCGTCCCTGCCCAGTTAAGAAGCTCACATTGACATCGCGATTGATCCAAAGCAATGGTGTTCACCGACAAGCATTCCTTGTTTTGTACGCACTTGAAGCAGCATTCTTTAGTGTTTTTGGTTGTTTGGTTGAACAACAGATTACCGAGTTTCGAGAAGACTTTTCCTTCTGCGCTTTTGAAAAAGTTTCGAACTTTACCTTCTCCATATTTATCACGATTAAGCACAGAGTATACCCTTTTGAAAAGGAAAATTAGCAAAATTGAAAGAAGTTTCTCGGGTGTCATGGCTCTCGGTGTCTTCGCCAGTAATCACTTAAATTGTGAATAGCATCCTTTAAAGAGTTTATAATTAAATATTAAYAATCGTCATTAGCTTTCTTCTGTGGGAAGATTGGAGTTTAATATACCTCCTGCGTCCTGAAAAAAACACAGTTTCATATTGTTTAAATAGATGAGGTTTCCAGCATTCCAAAATGGTTCTATTTCAATCACGTAAAGACGAGCGTTTTTTTTTTCTTTTTTTCTTTCATACTCAATTTACCAATGAATTAATTGATGTGAATTACTGCTGAGTTGTATTGATTAGAGAAGGATGTGAAAACCAAAGAATAGTTGAGTTTCGCGATCTCTTTTACGCTGTGTTAGCCTCAATTGTGTGCTAAAATATTCAGAAATGTAGATAAAACTCCTAATATTTCAAACTATTTCCATTGTCTTCTATGCTCACAGATCTCTTGCATTTGCACGGGCTGTTGTGAAGAACAGAATTTATTACATGGTTTTGAGGCTAACACAGCGTAAAAGAGAAACTGAAACTGAAACTGAAACTGTTTTATTGCTCTTTTTTGCTTTTAACTTGACAGAAAAAAAAGGTGCTTGTAATAAAAAGATAAATAGGTATAGAGAATATGCAAATTTATGTAAAAGAACGAKAGCCAGAGGGCTAAATTAACTAATAAGTTTTCTAGTTAGCCCCCTGTTATTTAGTGTTACATTGGTAATTACAGGCAAGGAGATCGTTAAAAGGGTTTATTAGCATAGTTGACCCTAAAACAGAGTGAAACTACTAAAACATGTAAAATTGTACTGAATTATACAAAAAATTTCTAATATTTTCAAAACAAAACATGTTATAGACGAAGAGAATAACAAGAAGTTTCTTAATACAAATATTTCGGACGACATCCATCGCCCATCATCAGTGTATTAACCTGACTATAAAGTTAATACACTGATGATGGACGATGGATGTCGTCCGAAATATTTGTATTAAGAAACTTCTTGTTATTCTCTTCGTCTATAAAATCTTAACCCAGTCAACCAACATCTTCAAAAGACATGTTATAGATGAAGTATTTTTGAAAGAAATGTTCAGATTCTGGATGACCATTGGAGGTTATGCATGCGGGTTATGACATAAACCGGAAGTAGCTTGGAAAAGTAAAAAATATTCTTCCAGAATTTAAGAAGAAGCATTAAAAAATCCTTTTGCTACATACAAGGCTTTTTAATTTTCTTAAATTCAGGTGAATGGAATCCCTACAGATATTTGCCATCTTAACTCCTGCACGGGGCTAGCGGGGCACTGAACGGGGACGTCACGCGTTTTTAATCTGCTTTTAACAGCAAGATTGTCCCGGGGAGTCGGGATTTTGATGAATTGGTTTTGAAGCAGGGCAAAGAGCGGGGATTTTAACGAGCGTTTGAACATGTCATGTATAACATGGTATAAGACTGGAAACTAGAGGTCGGCCATCTTGAGAAATACATTGAAGGCATTGGTATTCAACCCCGCTTTTTATCTGTTTATTTTTCAGTGCATGAAAAAAATTTTAAAGAAACTTGTTACACATGTTTCTTCGTCCAGTTAGCCTCATGTAGTACACAGGATAATACAAAAATTAACCCTGTGTATCAAAGAAAATTTGATTGAAAGGTGTTTGTTTTGTTATTAACTACTAGATCAAAATAGTGGGTCATCAGTAACTGGGATTTTAACAATGAATGTGCCGACTACCAGGGGAATTGTCTTATTTTAACACCACTCAAATGTTAAATTCCCCGGTATTCCCCGAGGGTCGGGGGCGGGGTTTCAGTTGACTAGTACATTAGGTGCTAATTAGTTAAGGATTGTTTCACACTTATGTGGATTGCACTTTAGTCTTAGCTTTAGGTATAATATTGCCTAAAGGGTGCTTGTTATTAAATTTACATTAAATACGTAGAATACGATTGCATGCTTGCTGGTCACACCGTTTTATACCCGCTACATGTAACTCTATGTGCAACTGTCCTGGATGTGGTCGACGTAGATAACACCCCAAAGCCAAGAGGATTTGTCAACAATTCGAACCTGAGCTACCTGGCCTCTGAGAGACGACGTATCGATCTCTTGTTGCTCCATGGTCTCAACGTTCTGTGAACTCACTGCCTTGGCAACCACCACTCCACCAATCAGCAGCTCTAGGCGTACGACATTAATGTCAGAACCTCCACCAATCAGAAACGTCAGCTTAGCTCCTTGGATTAGAAATGGTGGTGAGGTTGCGGTGCCTTGAGGAAGAATACCTTGAGCATTTGGTGGATGAGAGGGACTGGGTCTGTCTTCATATGTTCCTATGGACCAGTTTCCTTTTAGGTTCGATGAAGGGTAACCTCGAGCTTGGGTGTTATCCCCGTAGGTTGGCTGATTGTTGAATGCTGTTCCTGTCAAAGTCCAGCCATCAAGTCGTCCAGTCTCAAAATCAAACAGTGCGCATTCTGTAGATAAAAATTGTGGAATATCAAAACTGCTGCGACTGAATAACTTACAAGATACGATAGTATGCATTTTGCCCCAACAAAAAGGTCGGTTTCACTTTTGTCGTCATTTTGATCTTAGAAAATATTGGTGAATAAAAAGACTCGCAATGGCGATAGTTCTGCAACGATTTTTGTCGTTATTTTGATCTTAGAGAATAATGTTAAATTATCATTCTTTTCATAAGCGAAATAATGACAACAATGTTAGATGAATTGACTTGCAAAGACTTATCAAATACACTGAGATGACGTAACCAAAATTCTCTTCACAATTATTTGACAAAAGCTAACATATATTTGAAAATTGTGGCAAAAATTGCCAAGTGAACCTGTCTTAAAAAACGCATTGTCTTACTTTTATGCTCACAATTCCGTCCATGGGAATTATCGAGTGTACAAGTGCAGGTGTAGTTAGTCCCTCCATCTTTTATGGTGCATTGTCCGCCATTTTGACAAGGGTTTGCTGAACACGCAGTCTGAAACGAAGAAATGAAATGGGTTTTCAAAAAGCTAGCATTTTTGACTTTTGACTGATCATAATCCAATGTTCCTAATTGTTAAAATTTATGCTCAGCTTCATTGTATCGTAATTAAATCGTATGCGATACGTTATTGTCTTACGTAGTTTATTATGAAACTGACATGATATTTCTTTGTGGTAACAGGATGCAAACGATAAAAGGGTGTGAGAGCTACTATAAATCAAATAGAGTGAAGTCAATAAACTAAACAAAATTTCCCTTTAAACTTGTGTTAGTCAAATATTAGGCACAAAATTAACCAATGCAATTTCAGCTTAAAGTTTGTTAGTCTAATATCTATCTCAGCAGGTCAGAGAGAGATGTTTGAAAATTTAGCAGTTTGGTATCAATCCTAGAACGTCTTTAAACATTATTATTCCTTAATTTGCAACTATAGATTTCATTAAATGGTGATTTTACACTCATTATCTATCATTACAAATCAGTGGACGGACAAAACTAGTATCTCTTACCTTCACCTGCATAAACTTTGAGTTGGGTTTTGGTACGAGATGTTCCTCAAATCCCGTCCCTGTCCAGTTAAGAAGCTCACATTGAAATCGCGATTGATCCAAAGCAATGGTATTCACCGACAAGCATTCCTTTTTTTGTACGCACTTGAAGCAGCATTCCTTGGTGCTTTTGGTTGTTTGGTTGGACAAGAGGCTTCCACTTTTCGAGAAGACTTTTCCTTCTGCGCTTTTGACAAAGTTTCGAACTTTCACTTCTCCATATTTATCACGATTAAGCACAGAGTATACCCTTTTGAAAAGGAAAATTATTATCAAAATTGAAAGAAGTTTCTCCGGTGTCATGGCTCTCAGTATCTTCGCCAATAATCATGTTAAATGTAAAGAGTATCCTTTAAAAGGTATATAATTAAACATTCATAATCGTCATTAGCTTTCTTTTGTAGGACGATTAGAGGGCAATATACCTCCTGCGTCCTGAAAATAATACAGTTTCATCTTGTATAAAGAAATGAGGTTTCCAGCGTTCCAAAATGTTTCTATTTTCATACTCAATTTACCAATGAATTGATTGATGTGAATTCCTGCTGAGTTGTATTGATTAGAGAATGATGTGAAAATAATTATAGGGAATATATTAAATGAATTAGCATAGTTGACCCTAAAAAAGAGTGGAAACACTAAAACAAGAAATTGTACTGAATTATACAAAACACTTCTAATATTTTCAAAACAAAACTTGTCCTAGATGAAGTATTTTTGATAGAAATGTTCAGATTCTGGATGACCATTCGAGGTTATGCATGCGGGTTATGACATAAACCGGAAGTAGCTTGGAAAAGTAAAAAATATTCTTCTAGAATTTAAGAAGAA